TTTTTAGCTCAGTTAATATTTTATTATTGCTGATGATGTGAAATTATTTTTAGTTATTAAATTACCAAAAGATGCAATAAAATTTCAGTCAAATTTAGATAAATTTGTTGAATAGAGTCGTGCTAATCACCTTCCATTAAATATAAATAAGTGTAGTGTGATCAAGTTTTCCCGAATAAATAATATAATCACCTATAATTATTTGATTGATAGTAATATAGTTACAATAGTTTCTTCTATCAGAGACTTAGGGATAATCTTAAATTTTAATTTGGATTTTTCCACCCATATTAACACCTTTATTAAGAAAGCTTTTAAGATGCTTGGTTTTATTAATAGAAGCACGATAAATTTTGAAAATACTAATGCCTTAAAAACTTTATATTTTTCCTTGGTTAGATCTTATCTTGAGTATGGATCAATTGTTTGGTCACCACACTATATATCATATACCAGTCGAATTGAAAATGTTCAGTATAAGTTTTTAAAATTATTATGTTTTAAATTACATATACCCATCTCAAGAGAATCATACAAGTTGCAGATTTCCCAATTGGGGATCGTGTCTTGTGATTTGAGGAGAAATGTTGCGGATATAATGTTCCTATATGACTTATTAAATGGTCTTATTTATTCTCCGGAATTATTATTTCACATTGGTTTTAATGTGTATACTCACGTATTAAGAAAATCAAATTTTTTTCATATTTCTCTTCTTAAAAATATTTATACTTCCTCCTCGTTTTTCGCAAGAGCTCTATCTTTGGCTAACAGTATTATGGATCATATCGATTTTTTTTCTATGTCGCGTTTTGTATTCAGACAGAATGTGTTATTTGGCTTTAAATTTAAATTAAAATTCTCTTGTATAACTTATTATTATTATATTTTATTATATTTTTTATTCACTACAAACATGTCATTATTATTTCTTTTTTTTGTAACTGTTTATTTTATTAATGATTTTTACTGTACTTATAAATATTCTAATTGTTAAAGGGGTAACATCCGTATATTTTACATAAATAAATAAATATCTTAGCAGAGTCTGGACACGAAATTAATAAAATGCTAAAAATTCTATCAAATGCACTTGATAATTTTAAAATGAAAGTAAATTTCATGAAAACAAAAACAATGCTTATAAGTAAAATGCACTTAGATCAATTTATATATTAAAATTTATAATATATAAATTGACACGGTCACGGCGTTGTCACACGTTTGACACCCCGCGGTCGTGTCAGCTCCTTCTCAGCCACCTCTCCACTGTAAACCGGACCGACACACACACACGTTAATGTCGTGGTTTAAAGTCCAATAAATGCCCAGCATCGAATACCCGCCGCAATAATACGTCGAAGAAGTCATCTTTGTGACACCAACGTGTGCGTACCGTCTTCGAGTATATCACACGGATCGACACGTTACTTCGGCAACTTCAGCGGGTTTCTTTGTTTTCAATAGTTTTAATTTACATATTTGTGTACGCTCCGCTTGTTTTTATCTTTTTGGTAATTACAAAAATCAATAAACGGTTTTTTTCCTTTATAAACAACCAGTGTCGACTACATTCTTTTTTGTTGTTTCTTTTTTTTTTTTTGTTTTTGCGACGTAAGACGCAACAAAATAAACAATACACAATTCCTTAAATCCGAGAATTCTGCTACCTTGGAAGTATCATAGCTTCCAATAGCAAATCAAATCAAGACATTAAAAAAATAATAGCATTGGCAAAGCAATCATTCAAAAACAAAAATCAGCTTCTAACCAATAATCATCTAAGCATTGGCACATGTAAAAGATTTTTTAAACATTTGTCTGGAGTGTGCTTTTATATGGCAGTGAAACATGGACAATTGACGAGAAATAATCAGAAGAAAACTAGAAGCATTAGAGATATGGATATGGAGAAAAATGACAAAGACAAAATGGATAAACAAGAAAAGAAACTAGCAAGTGTTAGAAGAAGTACGAGAATAAAGAAGGCTATTGAAAGTGATTGAATCAAAAAAAATAAAGATAATCGGATATGTCATCCGACAGGATGACTTTAAAATCAACATCTCCGTTGGAATAATAACTGGTAAGAAACCAAAAGGACGCCCAAAGAAACAATATTTTAAAAATATTCTGGAACTCATGAACTGTACGTCTTTTGTTTCACTGATGAATGTGACATCAAACAGAAATGAGTGGCTTCAACGAAAAGGCATTGCTTTCAATAGATGATGATGAATACACAAAAATCAATATTAAGTACGCTAAGATTGAAAAAAAAAACATAGATTAGACACGTAATAAGGAATAGTCCTTAGATAACTAACAAAAATAGAGACAACAATCGAAGGAAAACCTGGAAGTGGAGAGCCTAAAACTCTATTTCTGAAGCAGGTGATAGAAGATATCGGAACAGGAATATACTGGGAGCTGAAGATGATTATAAGTGACAGAAATAAATGGAGAGAGTCAGAAATAATCATCTAACCAATTTAAGGATTGAAAAATAATTAGGGGAATATTCGCCCTCGATATATTTTGTTTGAGCAATCCCCTCATTTGTATAACTTGTAATTGGCTTAAAGATAACTATCCTAAACCATATATAACTGATTTTCCTATGCCAAGGCGTACAATTTCAAAATTTATTAGTTTTATTTATATAATTTGTTATGAACATTGGGTGGATCATTTACATCTAATTTACTTTAGATTCAAAATTGATATTAATGAAAAAATATTAATTTTATTTTTTAAACAAGTATATATGTTTAATTACTTTCAACAAATTGTAAATATTAGGTAAAAATCATAATTATATGTAATAAATCTAAAATTTTGTTACAACAAAATATGTGCGATAAAAGAATAAACAACAAAGAATAATTGACTTTGTACTAGTCTTACAATCATAAATTACATTATTTAACTTTAAGAATTATAATGATTAGGAGACATAAAACAAATTTAATAGCCAATATAATGATTCAATTATTCGTTAAAATATTTTAACATTGAATATTGAATATATATTATTTAACATTTTTAAAACCTAAATCAATAATTTTTTTTTTGAAATATACGTTTAATTATTTTATTTGTACTGCGAGATAATGTTGAAAATCAGAACGAGTCACCAACTTTCTCTTTTAATGTCATCAACGTTTTTTATCATGGGTCCTGGACGATTTTCATTAAATTAAATTATTTAACTTTATTAATTATAATGACTGAGGTATTTAAAATATATTTAATAATCAATATAATGATAAAATTATTTGTTAAAATACTTAAAATAAATTACATATTTTTAAAACCTAATAACTTAGTCCTAAATATGAAAGATTCGTATAAAGTCTGTATTTGTGCTGTAAGTCGTCTTATAGGATTATCATAATGATGATTGGATATAATAATGCAATTAAGAGAGTCTAGCATGAAATCTTTACGATTTTCATTAAACCAACAATTATTTTTTATAAAATAATTTAAAATAGTTTTCATTTTTAAAACATTTTCATATATACTATCAATTGATAATTCATTGTTTGCAAATTGTGTCACGATATCTAAAGCTGGTAGAATGCTTTTTTTTTCTTCAGTATCAGAAAGTTGTGTAAAATATGAAAGCGCTTGTCGCACTAGCATAATTAAATCATTGCAGTATTCTTTATCATCAGATTCTTCACTAGAACCATTTTCTTTTTCGTCAGGTTTCGAAAATATTTCAAATTTCTCACATAAAACATTCTCTAAATTCTCTTTGCAATATATTTCATCGTCAAATTCTTTAATGGCATTATTTTCATTTTCTTTAGGTATCGAAAATGTTTCAAATTTCTCATGTGAAATATTCACTAAATTCTCTTTGCAGATATCTTCATCGTTGGATTCTTCACTGGAACGATTTTCTTTTTCTTCAGGTTTCGAAGTTATTTCAAATTTCTCACATAAAACATTCTCTAAATTTGGTTTGCAATATATTTCATCGTCAAATTCTTTAATGGCATTATTTTCATTTTCTATAGATTTCGAAAATGTTTCAAATTTCTCATGTAAAATATTCACTAAATTCTCTTTGCAGTTATCTTCATAACCGGATTCTTCACTGGAACGATTTTCTTTTTTTTTAGGTTCTGGAATACATTTTCCACATTCCATCCATAAATCTTTCATCAAATTAGTGAGATATTCAAAAGCAACAGCAAAATTACAACTCAACATAGTATGGAAATGTTTACTTTTAATTAAATAATTTTCATTGGTAAAAACTGCACCATTTGATCTAGAAAATAATTCACTGAATGGTATTTTTTGGCTCTTTCCGAGGCTATTATCAATGGGTAGTGCACTATTTTCAAACTCTGACCAAACATCATTATCCACAAGGATGTTTAATTCTTTGAGTTTTTCATCTGTGCTGGTACAATTGACAATATAAAAGAGTGATAAACAGTTAACGTATAGGGTTAGCATTTTTAAAAAAATGTTTTAATAATAAAACATAACTTACTGAAAAAATTTACTGATTTTAATTTCATTTTATAACTCTTAAAATGTAAATATTAATCTTTGAACTTATATTTGCTTCAATGGTATTTAGATAAGTATTTATAGCTCTACTAAATAACATACATTTTAAAGTAAGATTTCTGTATTACGTCATACACTCAGAAGAAAACAAAAATTACTAAACTACTTTAATATCGCTTAACGTAGTAAAAATTTTCTAATAAAATCAATAACTAATATACTATTACGAATTTAAATCTTCAAAATTTATACATTAACATTCATCACTTATTTGTATAAATAGTAACATAAAAATGATAATTCTTAATTAAATTTTCAGAGAAGTTATAATATTAAATATGAAATAAACATATTCATTAATATTTTATATTTTAATATAATATATTGATAAAAATATTAATATTATATTTAAATTACCATAAATTTAATTAAGTTAATTTAAGCTAATTTTATTGCTTACCTCGTCATCTGGAAATCAATGCTATTTTGTAAGAAAAAATTGACTGTTCTGACCAAATCACTTACAAATTAGGGAGGCCTGCATTAATAGATAATGCGAGTTAGTCAAATAACGATTAAGTGTAAATTTAATAATTAAAATGGTTCAGTGATCTTATAATTATTGACACTGGAATTAACCGTGTCAAAATTGGCTCCCCGTAAAGAATCGCACCTGGTAAGTAATAGCTTTTTTTAATTCTATCTATATATATACTCGTACGACTAAATTACGCTCTTAACAAGACCACCAAAACTATTTTTGATATGACGAAGTGCAAGCTAATTCGCGAATGCGGTTTTCATTCTCTACCAACCGTTGTTTCGCAAAACGAACTTTTAATAATATTAAAAGGAAACATGCTTATTGCAGGCAAAAACCCGTCTTTAATCCGTCTACCCTCTCGATGCTCTTTAACCGTCGAAATATCAGCGCAGCACAGTGAGCTAGTGCGCGGATTAACGACAAATCGTACTGTAGAGGAACAATTAGCGCACATTACACTCGACACGCTTTTGTTTAATAACGAACCCATTAACTTGAAAAATAACGCAAAAACTTCGTTAATCCCTCACGAATTAAGTCACACACAAAATAAATCGACACTATCAGTTTTCGTAACTAGCGCATGCTCACTCCCGCTGTACCCTGACGACCTACATTATGTCAATAATATCTGAAATGCAAGCGAACAAATTAGGGCAATTCGCCAAAATTTACGCGATACTACGCATGCCGGATTAGTTGATTTACGTCTAACGGAGCTCGGGACGACCATGTCCCGTTTCATTATGGATCAGAGCCGCGTTGTCGACTTAATCGATCGTATGGAGGGTGCGATGAAAACGTTGGTGACAAACCAAAACCACACAGTACCCCCTTCACCAATGTTAACAATAACATACTACCCGATATAAGCCATGAGCATCACGCCGACTTATTTAACCGATTAACACTAATCGAGTCACAAGAAGCGACAAGGCTTAATCACGAAACGGTTAATATGCAACACCCAACAAATTTATTGTTCAGTAGTACAGCTCTACCTACTTACCCAACAATAAGTATACCTCGTTCAAACGAATGCGCCACAAAGAACCGTGCTTTCGAACAGGCCACAAAATCCGTGCGATAAGAACCAACGCAAAGATCATTCCCACTGTTGGATCTTCACTCCCCAAATCTCCATCACTCGGTCCTTATGCCGCATATTGACCTGAAAAATGTATGAGATTCTTTTCCCGACTATAATGGTAGTAAAGAAGAAGACCCAAAAAAATTCCTAAACAAAGTAGAGAACTTACTTTGACAAGCAAGAATTCACCAATCAGCGTAGGTAAAAGCTGTCGTCCCCTAGTTTTTTAGTTTTTAGTTATTATTGAGGTGGACATAATGTCCATGCACTCAAACCTGTTGGTCCATTGTGCGCACCTCATACCAAATTGTCTTGATTCGGTTTACCNGTTTACCCACCTAAGTGTTATCACCAAAGTGTTAATACATTACCAACCATAAAGTCACCTCTAAAGATGACCAAAGAGTCCTGTCTTTCTGGCGAAATTAAGTATCTCTCTGGGTTTTAGGTTTTTAATATCCTCTTTTTCAGGAAATGGTTTATTCAAGTAGTTTGATCTTAGTGTGGACAAGGCTTCACATTCGCATATGATGTGAAATGAGTCTTCCTCTTCTACTCCACACTTCCTGCACAATGGTGATTCCAATACCCCCATTGCGTTAAGATGCTTCAGCAGGTGACCATGTCCTGTCAGTAGACCAGTCAAGGTGCTTATTTGATGTCTAGTCATGCTATTAAGATCACCCAGCAATAACCCAGGGTCTTGATAATCATTTTGNGCAATAAACCAGGGGTCTTGATAAACATTTTAGATTGTCTAGGTACTACCAAGTACTTCCAGATTTTCCTGTGTTGTTCTCTGCACCAATTCTTGGGTAACGCTTTGAGCGATTGCTCAGTGAGCCCTACCACTGGTTCTGGTCCAACATAGGTGTTCTCTGCTCCTTTCCTGGCTAGAAAGTCAGCATTCTCATANACCTATCAATAAGTTTCTCCATAGTCTTAAGAAGAAAAGAAGTAAGACTTATTGGTCTGTAGGATTTTGCTTCATAATAGTTAGTGCGGTTAGGTTTGGGTATAAACACTACCCTAACCTTACGCCAGTTTTCTGGTTGATAACCATAGGCAAGGCATGCCCTAAATATTTTGCAGAGATGGGGAACGATTATCTCTAACCCTTCTTGCAGAAGTGCAGGGAAAATTTCGTCACAGCCTGCAGCTTTAAAACTGCCAAAGGCTTTTATCGCCCATCTTATCCCTCTTGGGGTTATCACTTTCCTGGTTAGTCTTCAATCAGCACAGGTCACACGTTTGTCCTGTGCATCATGTTCCTGTTCTCGGTTGTTAATTGCACAGTCAGGAAAATGTGTGTTCATGNCCATCTTATCCCTCTTGGGGTTATCACTTTCCTGGTTAGTCTTCAATCAGCACAGGTCACACGTTTGTCCTGTGCATCATGTTTCTGTTCTCGGTTGTTAATTGCACAGTCAGGAAAATGTGTGTTCATCAAATGTGATAATGTTTCATTATCATTATTGGTGAACATTCCGTCTGGCAGTAGTATTGCCTCGACAGTTTTGTTTGGTCCATTCCTTAGTGATCGCAGAAGTCTAGTTGCTATAGGGAGTTGTTGTATATCCCCACAGAACTTCTTCCAGCTTTCTCTTTTGGACTTTTTCAATGCAGATTTGTAGTTCCTTTGGGCGTCCTTATAGGATTCCCAGTGTTGTTCCAAACCTGATTTCATTGCTTTATTTAAGAGCTTACGTGAACTCTTTCTTAATTTAGACAGGTTAGCATTCCACCAAGCTACACCCTGCCCTGTACCTTTCCTTTCTATTAAAGGACAGTTTTCTTTGTAAGCTGAGACAATGGAGTCCTGTAGCATATTTACAGCCCTTTCAGTACTCTGTCTCGACCCCAATCTAAACTGTAGGTTAATCAGGTCACGAGAGAGATCTACCCTGTATTTGTCCCAGTTTGTTCTTTTCGGGTTCCTATAGTACTCCGTCTCAACTTTGTTAATTTCCAAAGTGAATCGTAAGTGCCTATGATCAGAAAGAGAAGGTTCGGAGGACACTTTCCACCCTTTTATCTTTTGAAGTAACCCTTTTGAACAAACTGTTAGATCAATGACTTCCTGCCTGTTCCTGATAACAAAAGTAGGTTCACTACCTCTGTTCAGTATACTTAGGTCTGTAGTCAGCAATAGATCCATTATAACCTCTCCTCTTTGGTTGATGTTACTGCTCCCCCAAATAGTGTGGTGTGCATTAGCATCCATACCTAGGATTAGTTCTAATTTTTCATTTTTGCAATAATTAAAGAGCATAGTTAGGTCCCTACCTGGGTCTGTGACCTCATATGGTAAGTATCCTGAAGCTACTATGATATTTTTACCATCATTTAGTGTTACTCTAATAATAGTCAAGTCTGCACTTGATAGATTAAGTATCAGGCTGGCTTTAACTTTATTATTAACCAAAATGCAAGTTCTTGGTTTATCTGCTTGTTTATGAAACAGTTTAAAATCCCTTAGATTTAGCCCCTTAATCTGGTCCCCATTTATCCATGGTTCCTGAATAAGTGCTATTTGTAAGGGTATTGTATGCCTCTCAGTTAGGGTCCTTAGTAATACAATACTGGCCCTTTTACTGTGATGCAGGTTTATTTGCGTGAATTGAATTCTATTGTCAACCATTCAGAAAACTGATGTTGACGCTTAAGAAAGCACGCTGTACTGGGTGTGATACAGGTGTCTGAAACACACAGCCCCCCCTGTGGGTGGTGTCCCACCGCCGTCCACAGGTGGCGACCGTGCCTTGGGTTCGCTCTCCACATTTTCTTTGGGATCCGTGGAGAGGTTTCCCTCAGCTGTGGCCGTTATTGAGGGTGGCGGTTTCTTGGGTCCCTTTCCCTTACGTAACACACTTCCTCCCTTCCCTTTCGAGGCAGGAGTAAAGTGTGTCCGTTTGCCCCTTACCTGTGCCTTACCTCCTTTCCCGAGTGGCACTGGTGATTCCTCAGCCTTCCTCTTCCCAGATTTTTGAGGTGTGGATTTTTTCACATCCTTCCGGGCTGGTGGCTGCTTGGCAACATAATCTGTGAAGCAAACTCTGCCCATTCCAAAATATGGACTGCGCTTCAGTTCCTCCAGTTTGACCATGCTGTTTTCGTCCACACTTAGAAACAGAGTTTGTCCTTTCGGGCCAACCTCTGTCTCATGGTGGACTTTCCAGATCGCCGTGTTCAGCCCTGGGTTTTGTTTTGCCAAAATTTCCAAGATCTTCTTGGACTCTTTTGGCAGCCCTGGTATGTGAGTGACCATCCGTTTATACTTGATCGGGTTGTAGGCTTCCAAATGGAGTTCTGCACCGTCCCAAGGTTTTATCAAGTTGACATGGTCAGTGAGCCACTTAAGAGAGCTCTCTTGGGCTGCACTGATCACAAGTGCTCCATCAGTGAGTCTGGTGTCTTCAAACCTTGGTACATCGGTTCCATCAGTACCCGACAGTATCAAGTCTCCAACACAAGACTCAATGAGTAGCCCCTGCTCTGTGGTCAACTTGTTAGTGGGGTAGCCTGCGAGGACCAGAGCCACTTTTTTATCATCGGTTACCACATCCCTGTAGTTCGGTACCCAATGAGTTTTCCTACATGTAGGTTCTTGACCCTCNGTTTTCTTACATGGAGGTTCTTGCCCCTTGTCCTCAGGATTTTGAGCTTCGGTTCCCTTTGACTTTTTCAAGTCATCGGTTCCCTTGTCTCCCTCCTTTGGTAGGTTCTTCTGCCCCTCCATGTTTGCTCGGCTCCTCTTCAGCTTGCGCCTCTGACTGCCGCTCAGTTTCTCAGGTCTAAGTTTTAGACCCTCGATTTTGTCAGCTACTGCTCCCAGTTGATCTTGCGATTCCTGGTCTACATTTGCTGACGTTGCTGTCTCTTTGCTAGTAGACGGTTCACCAAGTGTCCCGTTGTTGGCATTAAGACCTTCAAGTTCGGCGATTCTTCTGCGAAGAGTCGCCAGTTCACGATCTTGTTCCGACAGGTTGTCCGTAGGATCCCTGATCGTCACAAGTTCGTTGTTTTGTGGTTTTTCTATGTTTTTATCCATATAGTTCCCACGAGAAGTCGAGAAATAAAGGTCCGTCACAGCAGAGCTCGATACTGTGATAAGGCTGTATACTCTATGGTGCGCCAGGTGCCATAGAGGATCCCAATGGTCACTTTACCTTTCGGCTAACTACCCTGTGACAAGTTAGCAACCCTTTCACTTGGTATGGCTGGGTTAGGGGGGCCTATTCGCTGTTAGCAAGCAGGTATGCCCAGGCCTACCGGTCCCAGCTAACCAAAGTCATGACCGGCTAGGAGCAGTGGTACGTGTTGCCACCCCCACTGAAATAACTAGGGTCCGCGGGGTTTTTAGGCACGTAATCCTTGCGGATTCCCCTGCGGGAGTCGTCCCCCAGTTAAGGGACATTAATTTGAGAAAAGGACAGATGAATGAGAGTGATAAGTAATAATTGCCTTATCTAATTTCTTATCAAGGTATTAATGCCAAGTTTGTAATGTATACACATTATCATCATATGTATACACAGTAATCATGAAAAGATAGCGTTTTCTTCTGTCCTTTTCTCAATACGTATATCAATGTTTAATACCGTAAAATAATACATGAAAATTCAAATTTTCACAAACTTCAAAACGCTACAGAATATTTACTACTCAATATTAATAAGATATTTTTTTACTAAAATTTTTCTTAAATTCTACTCTACAAAATAGCTATCTTAGATTTTTTTTTTTAATTTTATTAAAAATTTAAAAATAATTAATATTTTTTATAAAATGTAAAAAAATTAATTTTTGAGATATAGCTATAAACCTAACGTATAACTATTATTTAAAAAAAAAATCAGCTAAATATATTAACTGGATCAAAAGTTATTTAAGTTGTCAGTGAGTGGTGGGCCACCCTGTATATAAAAAAAGAGAGAAATTTAAATAATACTCTAATCAGGCTGGGCTCGTGATGTAATAAGGTGGCTGATAGAAGAGACGAGGTGACCGTGTATTAAGCGTATCGCAAAATATACGGTACCGTGTCATTAAAATTAACTAAATCAAAATGAATACGTACAATTACATTACCTACTGTCACCGGTAATAATATCTAGGAAGCCATATAATATGGTATAATAAAAGGGATCGATAACGGTGAAAGGAGAACATATAAAACAAATCCAGTTGGTTTTTTAAACTTTTAAAAACATAATTGTATTTTCATTAAGCACATAAAAATTAAA